CATTATGTAAAAATGTGGATGTGTAACCCATGTGATTCTGCAATCTGTATTTGGGATAAAAATGGGAGTTCATAACCCACTTGAATCTAATGTATGAAAAATGATATATCAAGAGCTTTGTAATGTCGTGAACAACCAATAAAAAAATAAAAATAAATAAATAAATTGTTGACCTTTAAATATTTACACCTTTAAGTATAATATCACTAGGTAATATTGTGTAATAATAGGTCATTTTTAGTAAAGGCCATGTATACCAATAAATTTTAAAAGTTTTGAAACTTAACAATCAGCTGTTGTGAATTAGTATGACCCAATTCCAATGTATCATGGTAAGACTTTCCAAAAAGACTTCATTTTTAAAGGATTAAAATCAAAAGAACCTTCAGTTAACATCTGTTATGTCTCAATCGATATTTTCTAGACATGCTATTTCTTTCAGCACCTCCCTCACTTAACATCTCTTAACATCTCTTCTAATATACCTGGCAAATGAGACTCAGGGATGAGATGCGTGATTCCCATGAAGGAGCATATTCTTATGGATCCTTAATATTTCATGAGCACAGCTCTTCCTCTGCAGATCATACCTGTCATATTAAAAGCATGTCCAGCTGGGTATGGTGGCAGGCTTCTGTAATCCCAGTGGCTCTAGAGGCTGAGGCAGGAGGATGGGGAGTTCAAAGGCAGCCTCAGCAAAAGCCAGGTGCTAAGCAACTCAGTGAGATCCCGTCTCTAAGTAAAATACGAAAAAGTGTTGGGGATGTGGCTCAGTGGTTGAGTGCCCCTGAGTTCAATCCCCAGTACCAAAAATTAAAAACAATAATAATAAAAAAAAGTGTGTCCAGTCCAGGCATTTCCACATTTGACCTGTCCCATCTACGTGCCCTCAATGCTGCACCGAGAACTCAGACCAGGGTTCACCCACCTCTGATGTACACTTGACAAAATGTACAAAAATGAAAAAAGGCACTATACTTACCTATTTTTCTCTTCTTCTGCTCTATGCTTTTTTGTGAGTGGTGAAACAATAACTACAAAATACATTTTTAAAAATAAATGGCTCATTTAACTCAGGATTTCCTAGAGCCTCTTATCCATCTTTGGAAAGCTTACCAGCATATAACCTAACACAAGGTCTCCTGACCCACTGTGGAATGGATTATCTCCTGGGTGGCTATGGCCCTGCATGCTCTGCCCCCTCCCTTCTCTGTCCTCTCTTAACTATTTTGTACTGTCTTAACAAAGACAATTATGATATGACATGGGTGATTACGGCTTAGGGTCACCACTCATCCTGAGACAGCTACCATTTATAGTTGTGGTCCTGGTGCTGTTCTTAACAGTGTTCTGGCCAATCTCCAAACTGTCCTGTTTGGATGATAAATTAGATGGACACACTGCTATAACACAGCAATAATTTCCTGTTCTAACTCTAGACCCTCTTGTTTATCTCATAAGACCTCCAAACACTTTATCTCAATCTTACCTCCTTAGAACCTGCACCCATTGTACAGCTGTTCATGTTAATGGCATCTGCAATTTACCAAATTATTGAGAAATTTTTTTTAAAAAGTCCTTCTATCTCTTTCACATGAAATTATTTTTCAATTTCTGTCAATTTCCCAAGGGTTTATATCTCAAACCGAGCCCAGCGATACTCCGATACTCCATTCCCTCCTACGGTCACTACCTTAGCTTAATTTTACCTCTGGATGGCTGAAAATGGTTCCTTACTACCCTCATTGTTTTGCTTCTCACACTTACCCTGTGTGGTCTCATTGGAGTCAGAGAGAAGACCATGCAAAGATCTCCCTGTGACACTCTCATTTAGGATGCACACGTTGCATATTTGTTGAAGAAAAGAGCAAATGGATATTAGAATAATCTTATTCAACTAGTCATTATTTATACTAAAGGCCTATTCAAAAGTATATTCTTTCAATAACCTCCCTCTATTGCCTACAAAGCAAAGTCCTTTCTCTTGTTAAATTGAAGTCAATTTGTTCTAAATCAGCCTCTGCACTTGAGTGGTAATATTTGGCCCAAAGTGGCCTCTGTTTTAGCAACTTGTAAGTATGCCCTTGTAAAGAAGTAACTAAACCTCAGCCAATTCCAAGCTCCTGGGCCATCAAACCAAAGCAAGTATGTGCTCCATGCTCTTCTGCCTTCATGTTCTTAGTCCTGCCATTCCCCTGACACAAATCATCTTCCTTTTTCTTCCTTTCCCCCTTCTACCAAATAGGATGTGACAAGTAGACAAATAAGAATGACTAGGGTCAGAAGGGAAAAAAATCCTTTACCACATTTAATGTCGATGCACGTTACTGAAGTTGCTGAAGTTCTATGTTCTGTTGTTTCCATGGGTAGGTGATCAACTGTGCTTCAGGGGTAGAAAGAGTAGTCTTATAAACAATGCACCTCATTTTTCGAAAATGAATATAGATTAAAATAGACCCATAGAGGTGATTTATTACCTCAGATCATCCCACTTTTCAGTGGCTTTTAGTCTTGAGATTAATATGAACTACTCCACAGGATGAATTCCGTGTTATCTTTTTATGGTTCCATCACAATATTTCTTCTTCTAACAGCTTCATAATGGATACTATTTTTAAGAGCCATTCCCAGAAGAACATAAGGCTAAATATTCAAAGATAAGGCTCTTAATATTAAAAGACAGGAAAAAAACTCAAAGAGCCCTTTTGTTTTACTTGTGGAATCAGGAGCCTGGATAAGAGTTAGAACCAACATGAATTATTGTTGAAACAAATAGAAATCTAGCAAGTATGTAATTATTTTACTTGTGTATTTAACGTATCTTTTTAGAATTACTTAGGGAAATTATACCAACTACTTTAGTTCCACTTAAAATTATTTAGCAGACTTTGGGAGACAAATTTTATTCCCAGTGATTTTATTCTGTGGCTTCCTTTTTTTTTTTAAAAAAAAAAAAGAATTTTAATTCTAGGAGTAAGTACAAACCTGAACTTTGAAGAAGCCAACTGTAGTTCAAGATTTAAAAGATAAAATGTTTAAAGAGCCTTGAGCTTGGTGTAACACATGTGCTTCTTGAATCCTTTTTTGTAATAATACCTCCGAGCAAACAGAACCAGCTGTGTAAATGAAAAATTCAAATTATGTATGTTGAGAACAGCCTCTAGCACTGCAGAATTCAGTCACAAGGTCACCTTTTCCTTTTGGTCACTGAATGCAAACAAACTATCTTGAACCGCATGAGTACCTAAAGTCAGAACATCTCTGATTCAGGACAAAAACAAATGTGTCCCCAAAATACTCCCTGGAAGAACTAAAATATACCAGAAAAAGTAGTATTATTTATCCAATGTTAGATATACATGGATGAACAGTGAATTATGTGTCTTATACTATACATATTAACCTTTATCCTATTACAGAAAATTATCAAGAATAAACACACACATATATTCCATATATTCCCATATGCACACATATAATATATTGAAGTTCATTAAAAATTGACTTGAAACCTGGCACGGTAGCACACGCCTATTATCCCAACGGCTTGGGAGGCTGCGGCAGGAGGATCGTGAGTTTAAAACCAACCTCAGCAACTTAGTGAGGCCCTAAGTAACTCAGTGAGATCTTGTCTCTAACTAAGTCAAATATTTAGAAGGGCTGAGGGCGTCGCTCGGTGGTAAAGTGCCCCTAGGTTCAATCCCTAGTACAAAAAAAAAAAAAAAAAAAAGAAAGAAATAAGAAAAAATGGATGTGAGAATTTTAGTGATAGTTTACTAGCTAAATCATAAGTTTTATTCATTAATTCCAGTCAAATAAACTGACTATAACAAATGAAGACATACTTTTATCGTTCTGAATCATAGAATGATATCATTTTCCTGTGATGCATACAATTTTGAGAGATTAGCCTACACTCTTTTCTTTCTTAAATTTTTCATTTGTTCTTTTTAGTTATACATGATAATAGAATGTATTTAGACATATCATACGTACTTGGAGTATAACTTGATTTTTATGGCTGTATATGATGTGGAGTTATACTAGTCATTTATTCCTATAGGAACATGGGAATCATGTCTGATTCATTCTACAGTCTTTGCCGTTCCCACTCCCACTCCCTTCTTCCCACTCTGCCCTGTTCAATCTGGCCAACCTCCCCCCAACTCCTGCCTATTGTGAGTCAGCATCTGCGTATCAGAGAGAACTTTCAGCCTTTGGTGTTTGGGGATTGGTTTATTTCACTTAGCATGATAGTCTCCAGTTCCATTCTTTTACTGATAAATATCATAATTTCATTCTTTTAATGCTGATTAATATTTCCATTGTGTATATCTGCCACATTTTCTTTATCCATTCATCTGTTGAAGGGCACCTAGGTCGGTTCCATAGTTTAGCTATCATGAATTGAGCTGCTGTAAACATTGCTGTGTCTGTGTCACTTAGAGTTTGCTGATTTTAAGTCCTTTGGGATATGGCGAGGAGTGGCATAACTGGGTCAAATGTGTTGGTTCCATTCCAGGTTTTCTAGGGCATCACCATCCTGCTTTCCAAAGTGCTTGCACCAATCTGCAGTCCCACCAGCAATGTGTGAGCTACACTCCTATCTTTGAACCTAGTCTGTATACAAAAATCACTCCTTGAACGTAAATGACATGTTTTGATAAAGGTTGCGTGAATGCTGCCATTTGTCAAAGTTAGCAGCCATTCATTTTCAGTTCACACAAATATATTGAGCCAATCCAGGACAAACCTTAGGTTTTTTCCTGCCCTACCTCCGTCCTCAGGTTACAGGCATGAGCTAAAAGAGGCAGTATATTTATGTATCTCCCTTGTGTCTCTGGACTCCTCTGAAAAGAACCCCCATCGGTCTATTTCTATAACACAAAAGAATGCTCCCAGCCTTTGTGACTAACCTCAGCCCATGATGGGCACAGGGGTCACACTGTCATTTCACATCCCATCACCAATGCTCAGTCTCTCTTAGGGCCCGGTAGCCAACCCCTGGAAGCTCCCATCCCCCTAGTGTTTTGCTGCAGAAGGAAGGACCTTACTTCAGAGAGCCAGGGCGGCAACTCTTCATTTGGGGACTCTCTCACAACAGATACTTTAGCACTGTTGGGTTTGCTGGGACATATGGCTGGAGTAGTAGGTCACAGATCTGGAGAAGAGATCTCCCTTATGTGAACCCCACTTACAATTGGCAGATGTCCAAGTCATCTGATAAGTGGATTGGAGCAGTAGTTCAAGGGTGGTACACGGTGCCTCCATATCCAAGTGGCAATAATATGAGATAAAATATGTTGACCTTTATCATGGCTTATCCAAACCATTACATCCCTCAAAATTTTGCAATGTGGCAGGCCTCTCTATATTTTTAAAGTTTACCTCCTGGCTCATTGGTACCCTGCATGGGACCCTGTGGGACCAGATAAGTTGCCACTTTCTGTTTTAACTGGATTTGATCAGCACAAACACGGGGGATCACATTGTGTTCTGCAGAAAGATCATGAGTGACCCTGGAAGACGAACTTTTATGCAAGTCAGACAGAGAACAGTTTATGACATCTGCTACAGTTAGTTGTTTATCTGTTCCTCCTGCAATTGTTTTATATGATTTTCTCATGCTATTAAGTATTCTTTTAAAAATAATTTAAAAATTGATATACCAAATTTTATCATGGGGTTATAGAGTATTCATTAAACAATTCTCTAGTTACAGAT